TGAGGATGTCGGGGCTGCTTCTGCTAGTGCGAAGCGCTGCAGCGGCAAGGGCAAGGGTGGCAGGAGTGGTGGAGGGGGCAGCGGGAGTGGTGGTGGGGGCAGCAGTGGAGGCAGTGGAGGGAGTGGAGGTGGTGGCAGCGGTGGGAGTGGTGGAGGGAGTGGGGGTGTCGGTGGCAGCGGTGGAGGCAGCGGTGGGAGTGGCGGTAGTGGCAGTGGTGGCAGTGGTGGCGGTAGGACAGGAGCTCAGCGTGCAGGTTCTGGAGGAGGCCAGTGGCAGCGGCAGGAGCGTCGGAGCGAGACCCCGTCGCCCCAGCAGCTTCGTGAGTGGTTCATTCAGTGTGGGGCTTCTGGGGGTAGTGTGAGCTGCCCGTATGTCATTCGCACGGGTGACCGTGCTGGTCACACATGCGGGAAGGCGCACACGCAGCACCGCTGCTTCTCCCGTCTCGACGATGCGTGGCGTGCTGAGTTTGGTGATGAGGTCGAGCGCCCCCACTGGGCAGAGTTGCTTAGGTCTAGTGTTGCGATCTTTGACCTAGACTATGATGCTATTCTTTCTGCTATGTATGCTTTGTCTGCTAGTGCTGAGGGTGACTGTTACTGGTGTGTGCGGCCTGACCCAGGTATAGAGGCTGCTGCTCTAGGTGCTAGTGAGTCTTCTCTCCCTGGTACTGCGCTTGCTGAGGCCTTGCACACCTTCACGCTGGACTCAGGTGCCTCATGTTGTTTCTTTCGTGACAGTACCACTCTCACTCCTCTCCCTGCACCTATTCCGGTCAGACTGGCTGACCCCTCAGGGGACCCAATTCTGGCCCGTTCCTCCACTGTCCTCCCGTGTCCGGCGGTTCCGTCCGGCTCACTCTCAGGTCTTCACCTCCCCTCGTTCTCTACAAACTTGGTGAGGACCACTGCCCTCCAGGTCGCGATGGTCACTACCACCACTCCTGGGGGTCAGCGTGTGTCGATCTGCACGTGTACACGGACAGGGCGTCACCTGGCCACGTTCACTCGTCAACCTGGGTCGAGTCTGTACACACTGGCTACCGAGCCTCCTCAGGTAGCTGCGTCTTCTCAGGTGTCCGCGTGAGGTCAGGTAGCCGCCCCTTGCTCGTGTCGCCTCCTGTCGCACCAGAGTCTTCTGTGGCACCACCGCCTGGGTCACCCCTCGCAGCCACGCCATCGTGGCATGCACTCCCGCCTCCTTGTCTCTGGTCTTCCCAGGTCTCTGCCTCCCCTCCCGCCCTCGCCTGCCCCGCCCTGCCTTCCTTGCGTCGAGGGGCAGCAGCGCGCCACTCATCACTCCTCCTCGTTTTCCCCGATGACAGCTCCCCTGCAGACTCTCCACATGGACGTGTGGGGCCCAGCCCGTGTCAGTGGACAGGGCCGCGAGCGCTACTTTCTGCTGGTTGTTGACGACTACACGCAGTACACCACGGTCTTCCCCTTGCGCAGCAAGGGTCAGGTCGTTGATGTATTGATCCCTTGGATCCGCACAGTTCATCTCCAGCTCCGCGAGCGGTTCGGCCAGGACCTTCCTGACATGCGTATGCACTCTGACAGAGGTGGTGAGTTCTCCTCTGTCCTCTTGCGGGACTTTTGTCGTGGGGAGGGCATTCTCAGTCGTTCACGCTTCCGGACTCCCCTCAGCAAAATGGGATTGCTGAGCGCCGCATTGGCTTAGTCATGGAGGTCGCTCGTACCTCCATGATCCATACGGCTGCTCCCACACTGCGTTGGACGGGGGAGGTTGGCGATGTGTCGGTGTTTGGGAGCCGGACGCATCGCCAACCTCCTGGAGGCACTGTGCGGCCGCGACCGTACTTCGTTCCCTTGCTTCAGCAGGTTCTTGGTGTACCGTCTTCTGCTAGCCTTACTCCTCCCCTCTTGTGTCCACCGCCTGACCAGTCGCAGCCGCCATTACTATCAGCCTCCCCACTGCCTGCTCCTTCTCTTTACATTGAGCAGTCCGGCGGTCTTACAGAGCGTCATGAGCCTGCGTCTTGTCCTGTCTCGCCTGTTCGCACTGCTCGTCGCGCTCCTCGTTCGCGTCCTCCTCCTGTCCCCAGCACGCACGCTATGGCACTCCGTCCTTCCTTTGTTCCACTGTGTGTTCCTCTGCCTGCTCCTCCCGAGTCCTCTCTTTTTGAGGTCCCTGACCCTAAGTCTGACCGCGCTTGTGCTGACAGTCCCACTGTCTCTTGTCTCCTCGCCACTGCTGTCACTGACCCTTCTTTTGAGTCGGCTGCTGCGTCTGCCCTCGTTGCTGAGCTACTTGACTTTGCTGCTGCCTGCCGTCTAGACTACGCCATTGCTCTTGTTGCTGAGTCTGAGTCTGCCGGTCCTCCGTCCGTCGGGGGTGAGTGTGCTCTTGGCACGGACGTCCTTGAGGACAGGCAGGAAGATTTTGAGTGTCTTGCAGCTATTGTACCTCGTTTCGCTTCCATGCTGCTTGCCCCTGTGGGAGACCCGGATGCACTAGACATCCCGACCCCGCGCTCTTACGCAAAGGCGATTACGGGACCTTACTCCTCTCAGTGGCAGGCAGTCATGGATGCCGAGATGGCATCCTGGAAGTCCACAGGCACTTTCATCGACGAGGTTCCCCCACCTGGGGCAAACATAGTCGATGGCATGTGGATTTTCAGGGTGAAGCGGCCGCCAGGTTCTCCGCCTGCCTTCAAGGCGTGTTACGTTGCTCGAGGCTTCAGTCACCGACAGGGGTGTCAGAATGTTATTCTCTAGCCTGTAGTGGGGTGCTCTATAGCGAGTACAACCCATCTGGGGTTTGCTATATGTATCCTCATTGCTGCTAGTGAAACTCCTTCTTCTCCTATTTCTCTTTCATATACCCTAAAACCTAGCTATGGCTTCTTAGCCTAAGCTCCTATTTTATCATGCTATCAGAGCAATACGCTCCTGGCCTGTGGGCCCACCTGCTTCCGCTGCCCTACTGTGTGTCGCGCGCCTCGTGGCGCGCGACCTCCTATTTTTCTTCCCGCCACGCGCTCCGGGCGCGTGGCGGTTTTCTGCCCGCCGTGCGTCCCGAGGCGCGCGGCGGGTTCCTGCTTCGTGCGGTGCCCTGCGGGCCAGCGCGCCGGCCCCTCCCGTCACCTCGTCGCGGCGCCTTGGGGGCCCGCGCGCCGGCCTCAACCGTCGCCTCGTCGCAGCGTTTTGGGGGCCCGCACGCTGGCCTCTCCCGTCGCCTCGTCGCGGCGCTTTGGGGGCCCGCGAGCCGGCCCCTCCCGTCGCCTCGTCGCGGCGCCTTGGGGGCCGCGCGCCGGCCCCAACCGTCGCCTCGTCGCGGCGCTTTGGGGGCCCGCGCGCGGTCCCTTCCCGTCGCCCGTCGAAGCGCTCTCGGGGGCCCGCGCGACTCCCTAGCTCGTCGCCCGTCGGGGCGCCCTGGTGGCCGCGCCCTTCCCCTCCCCTCCCTCCTACCTTTCATCTGCAGCAACCCCCCCCCCCCCCCCCCCCCCCCCCCCTTGGAGCAGCCCGCAACTGCAGCAGCCGCCCCTGGAGCAGCCCGCACCTGCAACGGCCGCCCCTGGAGCAGCCCGCACCTGCAGCCCATCCCGTTCCCCCCCCCCCCGTGCATTCCGTGGTGCTGGGGGTGTGGGGTGCCGAGCATGGGGGTGGCGGGTGTTGGGGTGGCGGTTATGTGTTCCTCCCCTTGCTCCTCCTCCTCCCTTGTCTCCCACTGCTACAGCTGTCGCTGAGGGGGGTGGGTGTGTGGGAGCCTAGGGTTTAGGGTTTAAGGGGGGTGCTGTGGGAGTGGAGCTAGGGTTTGAACAGGGGGTGTGTGAGAGGGGAGTGGGGCAGTTGGAGGAGGTTGTGTGAAGGTAGCTGTCTTGTCGCTTGCAGCGTCTGTAGTCCGTCGCCCTTGCTTCGGTAGCCAGTGAGCCTGTTGCACCAGTCGCCAGTGGGTCCGTTGCTCCTGCCGCTCGTCTATAGCCGCGGAGCCAGTCACTCCAGTAGTCCGTCGCACTTGCTTCGGTAGCCTCTGAGTCAGCTGCTCCTGTGCCCGTGCCTCTGCAACTTCAGTCGTTGCCTCCCATCTTCTCTCCCTCCACAGTCTCTCCTCCTCCTCACTTGCCCTCTGTGATTAGCTCTAGCTTTGCTTACCTTTGTGAACTCCTGCTCTATACCTGCTTGCTCATTGTACTGATTACACCCCACTTTGGCTATGGGGGTGTGTCAGAATGTTATTCTCTAGCCTGTAGTGGGGTGCTCTATAGCGAGTACAACCCATCTAGGGTTTGCTATATGTATCCTCATTGCTGCTAGTGAAACTCCTTCTTCTCCTATTTCTCTTTCATATACCCTAAAACCTAGCTATGGCTTCTTAGCCTAAGCTCCTATTTTATCAAGGGGGTCGCCTACTTTCAGACCTTCTCTCCCACCCCGAAGATGACTACTCTTCGGGTGTTGCTGCACGTCGCTGCTCAGCGTGACTACGAGCTGCACTATCTGGACTTCAGTACAGCTTTCTTGCAGGGCAGCCTGCATGAGGAGATCTGGCTGCGCCGCCCACCTGGCTTCACTGGGTCGTTTCCTGCAGGTACCCAGTGGAGCCTGCGGCGGCCAGTCTACGGTCTCTGCCAGGCGCCTCGCGAGTAGCACGACACACTGAGGACTACACTTGCGGCTCTTGGGGTTACTCCTTCTACTGCTGTCCCATCGCTGTTGCATGCTGATCGATCTCAGGATCGCTGATTCCACCGCACTGAAAAACTGTTGAAATCATTTACAGCTTTCAGCACCATTTCAAACTCCTCAAATTTTCGATCCTGCACAGGATCGATCGCAGGATGGTGGTAGAGGACCGCGTCCTGAGCACCGCCATTACAAGTCGAACACTGACTGCGCGCCCAGCCCTTTCCAACGACTGCACGAAACCATTCTCTCAACTCAACCGTTGCGGCGGAACCCTCACATTCCTTGTCGTAGACCCTCGGTACCAAAAAGTCACCGCCATTCGACTCGAGTCCACACCAGCTCGAGCTATGGCTGCGCGGTTGGCCCTACCTAACGACTTCCTCGTTCCTGCGGGAAGCTTGCCAACGCGGGAGGTACTCGATCATGTGTCCTCCGTCATCGACGGAGAACGAGTACACGAGACGATAAGATGGAGGAGCCTTGGGCCCATGAGTAGTAGCAGTCTTGCAGCAAGAGTTACGCCAGATCGCTACAACTTGTAAAGAAACCTCGTTATAACATCTCGCTACCCACTGGGTCAAAACGAGGTGTTATATGGCGCAGCGGAATGCCCATTAACCAGCCCGCAGGCATTACACTCGTTGTCTTGAGCAACTAAATCTGACGACGGCTCCTCTCCTACTCGCGACGATGACTCTGTTAAGAAGCTAGAGTAAATTAGGGTGAGGAGCCATGGCTTGAGTGGCTAGACATGAGTGTCGAGAGAGTGATGTCGATTAGGTGAGGAGGGGGGGTACAAGAGTGTCGAGTAAATCTAGTTGTACCCTCTAGGGATAACCCCTACACAACCTAGAAACATATAAACATATAACTGTTTTGACACACCCCCATAGGTGAAGGAGGGGATAGCCAAACCGAACAGCAATCACAAGACTGTTAGAATGCTAAGCTGCTGCAGCTATGTCACCCACCACCCACATCCCCTGAGCCTCCCCACCACTTCACACTCCCCCCCACAGCAGCAAGTGCGGCTGTGAGAGAGAGGAGGCAGGTTGGCGCTGGAGGTGCAACCTCCCCCTCACACCCTCCCCTCCCCTCCCCTCCCCTCCCCTCCCATCCCCTCACCCCAACTGCTGCACGTGCAGCAGGGAGAGGGAGGAGAAAAGGGGGGGAGGGGGGGGGGGGAGCGGGGTAGGGGCTGCGCATGGGGCTGCAGATGCGCGTGCAGAGGGCAGCAGGGCGCACGGGGCGCACAAGACAGCAGGGCGCGCGTGGCGTGCAGGGCTGCAGGGCGCGCGTGGCGCGCAGGACAGCAGAAAGGGCTGTAGCGGCCGCAGCAAGGACTGTAGCGGCAGCAGCAAGGGCTGTAGCGGCAGCAGCAAGGGCTGTAGCGGCAGCAGCAGGGGCTGTAGCGGCAGCAGCAAGGGCTGTAGTGGCAGCAGCAAGGGCTGTAGCGGCAACAGCAAAGGGCTGTAGCGACAGCAGCAAGGGCTGTAGCGGCAACAGCAAGGGCTGTAGCGGCAGCAGCAGGGCAGCAGGGCAGCAGAGCACGTGGGGCGCAGCAGGGCTGCAGGACGCGTGGGGCGCGCAGGGCACGCAGGGCAGCAGGACAGCAAGGCGCGCGGGGCGCGCAGGGCTGCAGGGCGCGCGGGGCGCACAGGGCAGCAGGGCAGCAGGGCGCACAGGGCTGCAGGGCAGCAGGGCGCACAGGGCTGCAGGGCAGCAGGGCACACGGGGCGCGCAGGGCTGCAGGGCGCGCAGGGCGCGCAGGGCAGCAGGACAGCAGGGCGCGCGGGGCGCGCAGGGCTGCAGGGCGCTCGGGGCGCACAGGGCAGCAGGGCAGCAGGGCGCACAGGGCTGCAGGGCAGCAGGGCGCACAGGGCAGCAGGACAGCAGGGCGCGCGGGGCGCGCAGGGCTGCAGGGCGCGCGGGGCGCACAGGGCAGCAGGGCAGCAGGGCGCACAGGGCTGCAGGGCAGCAGGGCGCACAGGGCTGCAGGGCAGCAGGGCGCGCGGGGTACACAGGGCAGCAGGGCGCACAGGGCTGCAGGGCAGCAGGGCGCGCAGGGCTGCAGGGCAGCAGGGCGCACAGGGCTGCAGGGCAGCAGGGCGCGCAGGGTACACAGGGCAGCAGGGCGCACAGGGCTGCAGGGCAGCAGGGCGCGCAGGGCTGCAGATCCCCTCCTGCCTCCCCCTGAACCTCCAAGTTCCCCCCCCCTCCCCAACACAAAGTGCAGCAGGGAGAGAGAGAGGAGAAGGGGGGGCGGGGGCTGATGCTGCAAATCCCCTCCCCCCCACTGGTGCTCCACTATTCGTCACCCCCCAGGGATGAAGGAGAAGGGGGGGGACGGGGGGGGTTGGTGTTGCAGATCCCCTCCCCCCCACTGCTGCACCCACAGCAGGGGGAGGTAGGAGAAGGGGGGGGCGGGGGGGGCTGGTGCTGCAGATCCCCTCCCCCCCACTGCTGCTCCACAATCCTTCACCCCCCAGGGATGGAGGAGAAAGGGGGGGCAGGGGGGGCTGGTGCTGCAGATCCCCTCCTGCCTCCCCCTGAACCTCCAAGCTCCTCCCCCCCTCCCAACACAAGGTGCGGCAAGGAGAGAGAGAGGAGAAGGGGGGGCGGGGGGGGGGGGGCTGATGCTGCAAATCCCCTCCCCCTCACTGCTGCTCCACTATCCATCACCCCCCAAAAAGTAAGAAGGGGGGGGACGGGGGGGGGTTGGTGCTGCAGATCCCCTCCCCCCCACTGCTGCACACGCAGCAGGGGGAGGTAGGAGAAGGGGGGGGCGGGGGGGGGCTGGTGCTGCAGATCCCCTCCCCCCCACTGCTGCTCCACAATCCTTCACCCCCCAAAAATGGAGGAGAAAGGGGGGGAGGGGGGGGCTGGTGCTGCAGATCCCCTCCTGCCTCCCCTTGAACCTCCAAAGTCCCTTCCCCCTCCCAACACAAAATACGGCAGGGAGAGAGAGAGGAGGAGGCGTGGCGGCAGCTGCTGCTGCTGAGGCACATCCGCCACCCCCTCACACCCTCTCCCCCCCGTCCCCATGGAGGGGGGGGAGGGGGGGGAGGGGGGCGGGGGCGGAGCTGCGCGTGCGACTGTAGGGCACGCGGGCAGGAAGAACCCCCTCTTGCCACCCCCTTAACCACCATGATGCGACAGGGCACCGGGGCCGCGGTTAGGGGCGGCAGGTCGCGAGGGGCCATGGCTAGGGGCGACGGGGCCATGGCTAGGGACAAGGCCGGGCGCTGGGCAGGTACGGGGCCAGGCGCGGGGCTAGGTACGGGCCGGGCGCGGGCTGGTTCGGAGCCAGGCGCTGGGCGAGGGACAAGGCCGGGCGCTAGGCGAAGGACGGGGCCGGGCGCGGGCTAGGTACGGGCCGGGCGCGGGCTAGGTACGGGGCCGGGCGCGGGCTAGGTACGGGGCAGAGTCAGGCAGTAAGCAACTGAGGCAAAGTAGGCACAAGGCCTAACACAGTAGAGAAGCGCAGATGATCACCAAGCGGAAGTGCCTTGGTGAACATATCAGCAGTGTTGGCCCTAGTGGCCACGTACGCAAGACGAAGCTGACCACGCTGCTGCAACTCTCGAGCAAGGAAGTATCGCAAAGCGATGTGCTTCGTTCTGTGCTCCAGTCTGTGCTCCTAACACAAGGCAATCATGGCCTTGTTGTCTACGTTCAGAACTGGAGGCGAACGAGGCTGCTCTCCCAAGTCAGTCAGCAGGTAGGTGAGCCAGCGTAGCTCCTGTGCAGCCATGGCCCCTGCGTAGATCTCAGCCTCACAACTGGAGCTGAGAACCGCAGACGAGCGGGTAGACTGCCAGGAAACAGAGCCGGAACCAAGGCTGAAGGTGTAACCCTGTGACGACCGCTGCGTAGCTGAGTCGTCAACCCAAGAAGCGTCTGCGTGACCAATGAGGACAACTAGATCCCGTCCTCCAAGCACGAGCCCCATGCCCGACGTACTGCACAAGTAACGAAGTACCCTCCTCGCAGTATCCCAGTGCACCTTTCGGTGCCTACCGGGAGCCACGTAGCGAGCCAGAAGGCTAAGAGGGTACGCGAGGTCAGGTCGTGTGCAAGTCATCAGGTACATGAGGCAACCCACAAGCTCTGGGTACGGACCACTCGGCTCTGGGTCCGAAGGTGGAGCTTAGAGCGAGTGGCCGGTAGACAGAGGAGTGGGTTGTGGCGAGGAGAACTGGAAGCCGAAGCGCTGAAGGACCTGGTGCACCATGTGTGACTGAGTCTGGGTGATGGTGTGTCGTGCTCTGTCCCGAGTGATCTGCAAGCCACGATAGCTGCGCAATTCACCCAGGTCAGTACAGGTGTGTCTCTTCTGCAGCTCCGACTTGACAAGGGTCAGTGCCTCAGTGTTAGCAGTGGCAAAGACGAGGTCGTTGACATACACGAGGACGTAGAACGGCGACAGCGACGTGTCGGAGCGTAGAAACAGCGACGGGTCAGCAGTAGAAGGAGTAAACCCCAGAGCCGCAAGTGTAGTCCTCAATGTGTCGTGCCACTCGCGAGGCGCCTGGCGGAGACCATAGACTGACCGCCGGAGGCTCCACTGGGTACCTGCAGGAAACGACCCAGTGAAGCCAGGTAGGCGGCGCAGCCAGATTTCCTCGTGCAGGCTGCCCTGCAAGAAAGCTGTGCTGAAGTCCAGAGAGTGCAACTCGTAGTCACGCTGAGCAGCGATGTGCAGCAACACCCGAAGAGTAGTCCTCTTCAGGGTGGTGGAGAAGGTCTGGAAGTAGTCAACCCCCTGTCGCTGTCTGAAGACTCTACCAACGTAACGTGCCTTGAAGGAAGGCGGAGAACCCGGCGGCCGCTTCACCCTTAAAATCCACATGCCATCGACTATGTTCGCCTGAGATGGGGGAACTGCGTCGACGTAGGTGCCTGTGGACTTCCAGGATGCTATCTCGGCATCCATGGCTGCCTGCCACTTAGAGGAGTAAGGACCCGTAATCACCTCTGCGTAAGAGTGCGGGGTCGGGATGTCTGGTGCATCCGGGTCTCCCTCAGGGGCAAGCAGCATGGAAGCGAAATGAGGTACATCAGCTGCAAGACACTCAAAGTCCTCCTGCCTGTCCTCAAGGACGTCCGTGCCAAGAGCACACTCACCCCCGACGGACGGAGGACTGGCAGACTCAGACTCAGCATCAAGAGCAGTGGCGTAGTCTAGACGACAGGCAGCAGCAAAGTCAACCAGCTCAGCAACTAGGGCAGACGCAGCAGTGGACTCAAAAGAAGGGTCACTGACGACAGTGGCGAGGAGACGAGCGACAGTGGGACTGGCTGCACGAGCGCGGTCAGACTTAGGGTCAGGGACGGAAGGAAGAGAGGACTCAGGAGGAGACGGTAGAGGAACATGCATTGGAACAGAGGAAGGACGAAGTGCCATAGCGTGGGTGCCTGGGACAGGAGGAGGACGCGGACGAGGAACGCGACGACCAGTGCGAACAAGGAAGGCAGGACGAGACGCAGGCTCACGACGCTCTGTAAGACCACCGGCGTGCTCAGTGTAAGGAGAGGGAGCAGGCAGTGCGGAGGCTGGCTGTAACAGTGGCTGCGACTGGTCAGGCGGTGGACACAATAAGGAAGGCCAGGAGAAGACGGGACACCAAGAACCTGTTGAAGCAGGGGAACGAAGTACGGTCGCGGCCGCACAGTGCCTCCAGCACCAGTACCACCAGACACAGCACCCCCAGCTCCAGCACCTCCAGCTCCAGGGTCAACAGCTCCAGCTCCTCCAGCTCCAGCGCCTCTCGCGCCGATGCCCCCAGCTCCAGCGCCAAAAGCTCCAGCTCCTCCAGCTCCAGCGCCACCAGCGCCAGTGCCTCCAGCTCCAGTGCCTCCAGCCCCAGCAGCTCCAGGCTCCGTAGAGTCTCCAGCTCCAGCGCCCCCAACACCACCAGTCCCGGCAGCTCCAGTACCCCTGGTACGAGCACCTCCAGGACCAGCAGCTGCAGCACCTCCGGTACCACCAGCTCCAGCAGTAACTCCAGCACCTCCAGCTCCAGTGTCTCCAGCGGCAGAGTCTCCAGCACCGGTAGCTCCACTCCGAAGGCGTGTGCGCTGAGTAAACCACTCGTGCAGCTGCTGCGGGGAGAGAGGCTCCGGCCGGGGAGACAGTCGTAGCGAAGCACTCGCAGGACCTCCAGAAGAAGCAATACCCCGAGGCTCAGCACCCCAAGACTCAGCACCCCCAGGCTCCACACCCTCAGGCTCAGCACCCCCAGACTACACACCCGCAGGCTCAGCACCCCAAGGCTCCGCACCCCAGGCTCAGCACCCCCAGACCTGGCACCCTCAGACTCAGCACCCCCAGGCTCCACACACCAAGGCTCCGCACCCCCAGGCTCCGCACCCTCAGACGCAGCACCTCGAGCAGCACCTGACTCGACAGCTACCTCAACAGGCACAGTACCAGGGAGAGGGTCTACCTGAGACACACCTGAGGGAGCAGGAACCTGAGGGGGGAGGGGGTCTACCGGAGGGGGACCTGGAGCAAGGAAGAGCGGCTGGGGCGGGGGAGGGGCAAAGCGGTAGGGGAAGAGATGGTAAAAGGGAACCGACTCGTCAAACATGACGTCCTGAGAGGGGATGACACAGCGCGAGGTGGGGTGGTAAAACTGCCAGCCAGGCGCGTCAAGGGAAAAGCCAAGGAAAACGCAGGGAAAAGCACGGTTGGAGAGCTTGTCCGCGGACGAATCGCAAACAAAGGCACGAGAACCCCAGACCCCGAACACTGACGCATCGCCAACCTTCCCCGTCCAACGCAAAGTAGGCGAGGTCTCCGGCAAGGAGACACGGGGCCAGAGGTTGAGCTGATGCGGAGCATACGGAAGCGCAAACGGCCACAGAAAATGGGGAGCGGCCGCATGGATCATGGAGGTACGAGCGACCTCCATGACTAAGCCAATGCGGTGCTCAGCAAAAGTCCCGTAAGAGGTCGGAGGAGAACTCACCACCTCTGTTAGAGTGCAGACGCAAGACAGGAAGGTCATGGCGGAACCGCTCGCGGAGCTGGAGACGGACTGCGCGGATCCAAGGGATCAAGACATCAGGGACCTCCCCCTTGCTGCGCAAGGGGAAGACCGTGGTGTACCGCATGTAGTCGTCAACAACCAGCAGAAAGTAGCGCTCGCGGCCCTGTCCACTGACGCGGGCTTGGCCCCACACGTCCATGTGGAGAGTCTGCAGGGGAGCTGTCGTCGGGGGAAATGAGGAGTGAGGAGCGGTGCGCTGCCGCCCCTCGACGCAAGGAAGGCAGGGCGAGGCAGGCGAGGGCGGGAGGGGAGGCAGAGACCTGGGAAGACAAGAGA